CCTACTAAACTTGTCGGCTCCTGGACGTTTGGGGTGGACAGGTCGGCTGGGTTTCGATCTGTCCTGCCTGGATCAGTTGTCTCACATGCGTAACACATAGCCTCATTAACTTAGAGCTTGTTAGGGATCATTTTTTTTTTAATTTTTTAAATATGTTTTTTTAATGTATTTTTTACATATTTTTCTTTTTTATTTTTTAAAAATAAATTAATATATTGAGAACACTCAAAACAACTTTTAAGTGTTTTAAATATTTTTAAAAATAATCATACTTTAATCAAATAAGCAATGATTTGTTTCAAATCAAAGCATAAACAAAATTAAAAAAACATAGAATACCAAATGTCCCCTTATTTTTTTTTTTCGTTGATTCACAGTCATTTTTAGCTGGTTTGGCTGCATCAGGAGCATTAACATCTGCTTTGAGGCTCATTACAAAAGCGGCTTTCGAGCACAGCCACAATGGCCTTCGAAAAGGAGCGAGTATGTAACAACCTTTTGTTTAACTAATCGAAAAAGTCACATTTTTCAACATTTTATCATCTACATTTCATCATAAACATCAATTTATCTGACATGAATTTCGCTCTCCCAGTTATGTTCTTCGCATTTGCATCATTTCTTGAACTTGTATGTTTTCTACTCTATGCATACGTGTTTCCAAAACTGCCTATCGTGAGGTATTATCGCTCAAAGGCTGCTTCGGAAGGATCTAAGACGGTTTCCGCCGACCTTGCGGCAGCTGGCGTCGACGTGAAGAATGAACAAGTGGTATGTTGGTGTATGCGCTTCTCATTATAGTTTTTGTAAGAATGATTTACATACATATCACTCAATTCTTATGTATTTAATTTTTACATTCATACCATTTTATCCATGCATGAAAAGACATATTTCATTTTTTAAAAGTTAAAATCTTGGTATTTTTTATGTGATATGAAAGATTTGTATGATATATAAATAAGAGGCAATGTTTAGGTGTTACATATATATATATATATACGGTGGGCCCCAAATATTGCTTCCCCTTTGCGCTCGGGCACCTATGATTGGGTGTTTGCGCCATGTGACTAATATTTCAGAATCCCCGCGTCACGGTGAAATCGAACCCTTGACCTGAAGGGACTTGCAGTGACCTCGCCGCCAACAGGCTAAGGCTTGCGGCACAAATACGCACACGCATATATATATATATATATATAAGAATTGGTGGTATGCATTTAAATGCCCCTATATTTTTTATCAGGAGGATGTACATACAGTTCAGTCATGTCTTATGTGTTTACATTTTTTATATCTAAACTTTTAATTTTTACATATTTGCCGCCTTTTTTATGCATGAAAAGGTAATTTTTTACTCTTTTTTTTTTGAAGTTAAAATAGTAGTACTTTTGATGTGGTATGAAAGCATTGGGTGGTATAAATGTTAAAAAATAAAAAAAATATAGTTTAGATGTTAGATATGTAAATAAGAATTAGGTTTATGATTTCTAATTATGAAAACATGAACAAGGCTGAAGAAGATCCAAAGCACATGGAACTTCTGACAATGAAGCAGCTGCTGAAGAAGAATTTGGATTATTCATTGGATTTGTACCTCATATATGCTCTCACTCTTTCCTGGCTTTCTTTCTGAAGATACTGGAAATCATGCATTGGGATCTTGGTATGCTTGTAATTTCTTTCCAGGTTTAAATTTTGGGAAATTTACATACATACCACTTAATTCTTACATATCTAATACCTTTAAGTTCTATATTTGCACTTTTTAACACTTGGGATGTCATAAAATTTTGCGTGAAAAGATATATTTCACTTTCAGAAGTTAATAATGGTGATTTTTGTATGTGATGTTAAAGATATGGTGTTAGGCATGTAAATATGAAAGTTTATGTGTTAGATATGTAAATACATAAGAATTGTGTGGCATGTACATACCACATAATTCTAATGTATCCAACTCCTAAATGTTACTTAACACTTTTAGGACTTTGATGTCATAACTTATGCATGAAAAGATGTATTTCATTTTTCAAAAGTTAAAAATGATTGTATTTTTTATGTGATATTAAAGATAACAAGTATTATGCATGTAAACACGAAATATTAGGTATTAGATATGTAATGTCAGAAAAGTTTATGAGGTCATTTTAGTGCACTTTATAAAAATTTCATGTTAGTTCATCGACTCTTTAAATATGGATAGATGCAATCCCCAAAGATGAATATTTTAACCCATATTAAAAGAGTGAGGACTAAATTGACAGTTTTATAGATTTCAGGAATCTACTGCTAAAGGATCAACGAGTCTTTTTAGCACTTTTCTCAAACTTTTAGACGATATTTGGCAGCATACTATTAATAGAATTTAAATTAAATCCAGCCAAATACCGGAAAAAAAATAATAATAATAAATCCAACGATCCGTTAAATCGAATTATCTTGCGTTCGATCTCTTTTTTTCGTGTTTATTCTCTTTATTACCTAAATTCGGATTTACTAAGGGTCTGTTTTGAGCAGTTGCAACTTATTAAGAAACAACTGTGAAGCTGCTGAAGAATAATCTAATGTTGTAAAAAATTGCAGTGATTATTATAATTTTTTTTTTAAAAGTTAGATCGCAACTAAAAAGCTGTCCTTGCACTCAGCTGGACTATTGGAAAAACACCGATTTCAACAGTAACTTTTTGAAAAAGCTGCCAAAATATGCAGTTTATCCAAACGAGCAAAACTGTTGTGCGGTGTCGCACCGCCACCGCACTGCAACCCTAAACCGACCCTATATCCGACTACGAGACGGATTTATTCCATCTTCGTTCACGACCTCCATTTCCGCAGCACATTGAATTTGATAAATCATATTTAACATAAATCTTAGCTATTGTCAAACAACATCTTACTATTAATATTCATTGAATTATATAGCTTTTTATAAGCTACTAACTAGAGAGTTGTGATTGTTCAAGGTATGCTCTTGTGTTGATTACAATGTACAATGTGTTTGATCTCATTGGGAGATACACGCCCCTCATCAAATTCATCCGCATAGAATCTCGGAAGGGTTTAATGGCTGCTGTTATTTCTCGTTTCTTGTTCATCCCTGCGTTCTACTTCACCGCGAAGAAGGGAGGGCAAGGGTGGATGATCATGATGACGTCACTGCTAGGGTTTACCAATGGCCATCTCACTGTTTGTGTGCTCACCACAGCACCCAAGGGATACAAGGTAAAGTGTTTCTCATATTGTGTTGGATTGTTCTTTTGAGATTCATCGTGATTGTAAGGCCGTTAATGATCCAATTTTGGGCCGAGCTGGGATCGACTCGACCAGCTCGGCTCAAAATCAGCGAGCTGAATCGGCTTGAAATTGAATTGAGTTGGATCCGATTCGAAATCGAAACAAGCTTGTTCAAATTGAGTTATTTGGAGTTGAAACGATCCGACTCAAAATTGAAACTAATTGGCTCGAATTGAGTTATTTGGATTCAATCCAGCTCGAAATTGGCTCATGACTTGTTATATTTAATTTTACTTAGCATTACATATTTAATTTTATAAATAAAGAATACTATGAGCCATTCTAGAGTCAGTTCGAGTTATTTACGTTTGGCTCGAAATTGACTACAAAAAATTCAATCTAAAGTTTTTCGGCTCATAACTCAGCTTGTTTATTTAGAGATTATTTTCAACCACGAGTAATTTAAAAAGTGTTTGGATCTTAAGTGGAGTTTTCATGTGCAGGGGCCAGAGGCAAATGCATTGGGAAATTTGTTGGTCATGTTTCTTCTTGGTGGCATTTTTTCAGGAGTTGCATTAGATTGGCTATGGCTCATTGGCAAAGGATGGTGAAGTTATTTATTACAAAATTCATTTTGCACCCAAAACTATTATTAATTGTCAAAAATAATGAGGGGTTTTATTTGTAATGAAAATGGAGGCTTCAAGTTGGATACATAGTTCTCAAATGAAAGAAAATGGAGATGTTGATGTAAATGTATTTCTTGTCCATGTGTCACAACTATTGTTTGTTGTGATTTTTTAATTTTAATTTTCTCAAATTTATACGATGCCTTAATTTATACATTATACGTTGCATGATTAAGGGTGTGTTTGGTACAACTGTAATTATTTGAAGAAGCAGTTGTGAAACTATTCTTTCAAAAATTATGATGACTATTATAAATTTAGTTTTTTATGAAAATGTCTTAACTTTCTAGCGGCTACCGTATTTAGTCAAGTCAGGTTGCAGCTAAAAAGCTTGAAGAGCATGTACATATATTCTTTCAAGTGGGGAAAATGGGGCAAATGAGGGTATTAAATTCTTGATGAACAAAATTTTTTTATTTACTTGCATGAACACCTAAACTTTTAATGTTTATATTCTCAACATTCACTGAAGAACATCCAAACAAAGACAAAAATTTCTAAATATCTTAAAAATGTTGGCATGCAATAATGTTCGTATGTTTAGTTTATGCAATTCAATTTTCATTTATATAAATAATATTGATAAAAAAAAAACATGAAAATTATTTTATCATTAGTTTGTCTAAAGAAAAATACAGTTTGACAATAAAATGCTGTATAAATAAATTCAAAAATTTAGATGTTGGATGTGTAAATATGTAAAAATTTATGAATGTTATAATGTGAGGTGATTGGGCATTCAAGTATTGTGCCTGAAATTTATCAGCCTAGCTCTTCAATAGTGAATATTGCATATTTAAGATATGACGCTCGTTGTGACTAATAGCTTGGCAGCTATTGTATGTTGTAAGTCCATTAAGGTCACGAGTTTGAGCCCGTCTGAGTGCATTTGTCTTACTGTGCACGTGAAATTTGTTAGGGACTCGTCTAATAGCCTCTTACGAATGTTATGTGTGTGTGTGTATATATATATAATAATTTTTAGAGGGGTCGCGGTTATTAGTCGTCACTTTTTCAAGCGGGAAGGTTTGAGCAACCTCCTTCTCCGTTAGCGGCTGGCGGGGGAGGAGCGGCTGCCGTAGAAGCTCCATTGCCGGCGCTTCCACCTCTTTCTTCTTTTCCTTCATCGGCAGATGTTTGTCTCGATAAGGTCAACTTGCCCTCGCCGCCGTCATATTCTGCTTTTTTTTCGCTGCTGTTCGCCGCGATGGTGGTCGCTACTTCTCTTAAACCCTAATCATGAACTATGTCTCTTATCAGTGGGTTTAAATATGTTAGATCAGTTGCATTTTTTGGGAGAGAGAGAGAGAGGGAAGGAGGGAGGTAGATCGCGACTGTAGCGAAGGCATTGGAGGCTGATGTGATCGTCGATCAAGGTGGTCCGTGGCGGATTGAGTGCCGAGCAATAATGCCATAATTCTTCTTCCCTCTTCCCGTCTCTTTACCTTTTTGGTTTCCTGCTCTTGGGCCACGGAAGTGGGTTGTTATTGCACTTGAATAACCTCCATGTCGTTCATAGCAGCCTCCTTCTAGCCTTAGACTCGGGAATTCTAGATTTATGGAAGAGTATTAATAATGAGTGTTCTAAAATAGGAAAATTATATGCTGTAATCGATGATTATTTGTGAATGAACTGTAAACCTGGCTAATTATATCGATCGCGTCTAAACTCTTGTTAATTGTTATTGTTAAATAAATGTTAACGTTAAATTAATTTGAACTTCAACATTTGAAGATTATATTGCGTGAACTGGGTTTGTAGGAACCTTAATCTACAGAATATAGTTCCTATTATTTATCAGTGCGTTGTTGAGCATGTAGTTTAATATGATGATGTTCGTGCTAGATGTAAGTTTTTGAAGTCAATATTAAAACTCAAAATGGGGGAGGCTCTAGATCAGGGACAAGCTTCCTAATTTTTAGAAAATTTTATAGAATATTGAAATTTTGGAGTCTAATATTAACAAGGGCATTTACATGCATACCACGAAATTCTTTTGTAGTTTCATATAGAACAACTAAACATTCATAGTTACGTGCATGCCACTCAAATTATAACATCATATCAAAAATAACACCATCACTATCTTCTCAAGTGAAATACACCTTTTCATGTATAAGTTTATGACACCAAGGTGTTGTTACTGAAAATGTCAAACTTTGAGCGTTGGATTTGTAAATGCATAAGAATTGTGTGGTATGTATTCAAATTTTCTTAATAAATAATGAAGTAATCTTTTTTTGTAATTATTATTGAAATTGTTGTGAAGGTTAGCACTGGGATTAGTTATGTTTTGGGTTGTTAGATGGAAGTGGGTTGTCAGAGGCGGCATCTGAGTCAGAAGAACTGGGTTTGAGAATGTCCGATGTATTTTTAGGTTTCCTAATTATTTTATGAAAATTAGGAGTGCTTTCATTGGCTTCTAATATATGATCACCATTCATTTCATGGATTATATTGATTCGTCGCTTATGTTCATAACCAATAATTAGCCTATTATGATATTAGGAGTTATTGATTTATTCCTTGAACTATCATGACTATGAATTGGTTTTTGTGATTTCTCTTCACCTATCTTTTATGTTTATGCTCTCAAATTATATTTGATTTATTTTGAAAAATATCTTCTAAGGTTTGAACTTTATAAATATACGATAATGAAACACATTGAATATGTCAAAATTTTACTTTGCTCGCATCAATGATTATGTTGACATTACGATATAATAGGATAGTGATTTACACAACTCATCACTTAGCTTGAGCCATAATCGAAAACCCCCCTTTGTTATGTGATTTGTGGGGATCGATTGCTAAGTTTTAATAATAGCTTGATATTATTATCTTTATATGCATGATGTTATCTTTTAAGTTTTTTGTTTTAGAGATAGTATGAAGGATCTTGATTTGCAGCATAGAAATTTGAACTAGAATACTAGGACTTTTTTTGAAATTTAGAGTAAATTAACTCATTCAAAGTTTGTATAAAAATTACCTTAATTTGGCTTATTTAAATAGAAGTCATTATTTTATAGCTTTGGTAAGTCATTAATTTTTTTATTTTTTAATAAATAATGACATTTAAAATCATAATGATTGATTGATTTAAATTATTTATAATTCCTTCTTTTTTCCTTGAGCTCGAGCTATTGAATTCATATTTAATTGAAATTATTGATGTAGATGCTTTGCCACTAGTAATGTGAAATCCACTGGTAGAATCTGTTGTTGGCGCCCCCTGCTGGAATCGCAGATGGGCTCTTTTAGAAAATTTCATCACAGGATTCCCTTAGGCTTGTGCTTGGAATCTGACGGGATTTCACCCAAAAATAAAAGCTTTTTTGGTTATATCAATAAAATAAAATCGAGAATATGAAGCTAGATTGAATTGTATGGCACAATTTCCAGATTTGGAAATAAAAAACAAAATAGATTATTTTACATAAGACTTTCAAATAGGTTCTGTTTGTCTTTACATATATTAATAATCTAAAAATATTTTTTTTCAGTATAACATGAAGATAAATCTTCTTTTGTTTATTAGATTGTTCAAGTGGCATTATACATATTTAATTTTGTCTTATAAATCTAATGTCAAAATTTAGCTTGAATGTAAAGCACAGTTTTTTACAGTCAAGCTATAAAAAATTTCATGGAAATTGTTAAATTTTACAATTAATTTTTTACATTATGCAGAGTATATGTCTTATGGGAAGATTAAAATATGTCTCTTTGAAGGGGAAAATAAATTGTCAAAGTCCTAAAATGAAATGCCATGCCATAAATCTCGTGCTTATTGATTTCCATTCATCTGAGCTAAAGCTTACAGGCGTTATTCGGTTATTCTCATTGCTTGACTGATGTATGCCACAATGGCTGGGGAGTGTCAACAGAGTTTTATCAGCAAGCTCCATTTTAGCATCTCAAATGGCATGCCTCATGCAGAACCACTCCCTAGCTTTAAGGCGGATGAAAAAGAACTGGTATTTAAATATTTTTTTGTCCCTTTTTTCCCCAATTTGGTTGTTTTCGCTTCTTTAAGAATTTTTTTTTTTAGGAAATTTACACACATAGCATAAAATTCTTTTGTATTTTTATATATAACACCTAAACATTCATATTTATATGCATACCACTCAAATCTGTAATATCACATCAAAAATACTATCATCACTATCTTTTTTAAAAATGAAATACACCTTTTCATGCATAGGTTTATGACATAAATGTGTCATAAGTGTAAATATCCAAATTTGGGTGTTTGATGTGTAAATACATAAGAATTGTGTGGTTTGTATGTCAATTTCCCTATTTATTTTCATAACAATGAACGTTCTGTTGTTGGGGTGCTTTCTCAGACTACTAAACACTAGTTTGTATGGCTTTCTGAATGCTTTGCAGCTAAAAAAACATGTTCTGCTGCTAAGCCTTCCTCCAATAAAAGTCTGTGTTTGGCAAATTGGCACTTCTCACAATGTGTTTTGTACCCTAATGACATAGTTTATACCTAAAGCTATGCTAAAGTTTCATTTTTTGATCAGGTACATGGCATCTTACAGATGCTGCAAGGTTTCTGCAGCCATCTATTTTATTGGGATGAGGAGGGACAAAAATTTCTGGTGAAAAGTGGGATTTTTGTTTGTCATCTATCCCAGACTAGTCTCCGTAGCATTTTAGACAAGTTCTTATTCTGTGGAACATGTTTGAAGAAGGTGGAACTCTTTGTTAAGAAGGTAAAAGCTTCTCGTCAAAGAGCTCCTACCCTCGAGGCTTTTGCTAATTCCGTCCATTCATGGCTCAAGGTAAGTATGCCACATAATTTCATTATATGTCCACATCTGTTAATTTTTTCTTTTGTCTAATTTTAATTATTATGTATAAAGAGAGTGCGGGATCTTGCTTTAAAAGAGGAAATAAAGTCGACTTCTATAGATTGCCAAATTACAATTACTCTCCTTCAGCTGACCAATTCTTTATCAAGGTCAGGCATTTCCATTTTAATCTCAATTATTCTGACTTTGCTTGGATATGCTTGAGTAAAGCTCCTAATTATAAACTTTGAATATTTATAGTTATCATTATTATTTGTAAAATCTTCTGTTTGCGACCTTTGGTCTAGTTGGTCTCTCAAAAAGAAATTTTAACTCTTTTGAACAAGTTTATTCATTACTTACCTTCGCTTTTTTGTGTTTCGTTCTCTGCTTTCATGGCGTGCTAAGTTATTTGACCTAATAAATTAGTCAATTTTCATGCTCTTAATAACTCATCTCAGGCCATTCTTAGCAAGTTGTCATTATCATTTCTAAAAGTTTGGGATATTTACATATATATAACACAATTCTATTGTATTTTCATATCTCACAACTAAACTTTCTTATTACACACATAGCACAAACCTTACTGTCACATAAAAAATAACACTATTAGCACTTTTTAAAAGTAAAATACAGCTTTTTATGCATAGGCTTAAAGCACCAAAGTGTTATGTATGTAAATATGAAAGTTTAGGTGTGAGGTATGTAAATACATAAGAAATTGTGTGCTAGGTATTGTGTGCTAGGTATGTAAATGTAAATTTCCCTAAAAGTTTTTGTCTCGACAGTCTGTCTTCTTCAATTTGGAGCTATTCTGTTCACAGCGGTGTGTAGACTGTGAAGACATGACTATATGTATGAGGAAACCCTTTAGATATATTTATGTTTTCATTTAGATATTCTCAGTGTGTATCATGTCTTCCCTTTCCCAATGTTTCCAATCAATTAATTGGATATGTTAAACAAATTTTATTGTTTTAATGAAGCATTTCAGTTTCACTGTCATGAATTGTTTCAAGGCCCTAATCTGCTTGTCCTATGTTTAGAAATATTTAAGTTTTGCTTCTGGTGCCATTAACAAATTTTACCATCAAGTTAGAGTTTCCGGATTAAATTTATTCTTTTTCTAAGTTTCCCAACTATTTATTAATTTGCTTTTTCAATCTTTCTTTGCCGCATATTCCTTTTGAACTTCCACATAATGTAACTTTTCTTCAGCAAACTTTTCTTGAAAATAACCTTTAAAACATGTTTGCTTTGGCCGGCACCCCTTTCTTCAAACCTTTCTAAGATTATATCCATTTATAAGCATTGTGAAGTAAAGTTCCTGTGAGGAAGAATGAAAGAAGAACCTCTAATTATTTAAAATTTTTATTTTTTCTGTTGTTATTTTTATGAACACTAAAACAACTTACTTTTTAGTGTTTTGATTTTCTTAAAACAACTACCACCGTTGGTTGTAGCCGCCATCGCTTTTATTTTTTCTATTGTTGAACAGAAAGAGTCAAAGAAATTATGTTACTAAGTGCTTGTTTGGGATCACTTTTATTATTTTGCTTTTGTTTTTATTTTAAAAATATGTTTACTTAGTGCATTTTTTGGTGTGTTTTTGTTCTTTGTTCTTAAAAATAAATTATCTTGTTTTTAAAAACATTCAAAACATTTAAATATTATTTTGAATGTTTTTTAAAAAAAACTAAACATGTTATAACAAATTGAACTTGTCCTATTGCAAGTAAAAAATATACAAAACAAAATAAAAATTAAAAAGAAAAAATGATTCTAAACGGCCCCTAAGCTTCATAACTTTGACCTCCCTGCATGTTCCGTTTTAGATTTCTTTCTATTCATGAAATTTATCTCATATGGCACACTACTTCACAGTTTGTGCTCTGGGGCAGAGTATCTTGCTCAAGTGGTGTATGGATCCATACCGAATGCTTGCATTAATTCTGAACTTGCAGTCCCAGCGAATAAGATTGCAGTTATTATTCTGGATTCTCTGTTCAAGAAATTGAATGAAGCCTATCTTGTGCCCGGTGGTGAGGTTAGAAATATAATATACTATGTTTTCTCCAGCTATTTCTTTTAATATTTTCCATTACAAATTTATCTAAACAATTCCTGCTTAAAACAGGAAAAACCATATCATATGTTGCTTTCCATTATGGTAGAATGTATGCTTCCGTATCTTGAGGTGCTGGACTTATGGTTGTATGAAGGATTTCTTGATGATCCTTGTGAGGAGGTATTTACGATTTCCTTTTTTTTTTTCTTTTTTCAAAGATTTACATACATACTACTTAATTCCTATGTATTTACATATCTAGCACCTAAACTTTAATTTTTTACATTTATGCCACCTTTCCTAAGCATAAAATGGTGTATTTCACATTTTGAATGTTAAAATAATGTTATTTTTGATGTGATGTGAAAGATTTGGGTTTGTATAATTATAAAAAGTGAAGTTTAGATGTTAGATATGTAAATACAAAGAATTGGGTGGTGTGCATGTAAATGCCTTTTCTTTTTTTATCCCCCGAGCTTGTTTTTCTTCAATCTTGATTTTTTCCATACTTTGCTAAAACATAATATCTCAAATATGTGTGTAAACACATAGAAAAAGATGTCAAGGTATAAATTAGTTGGGTCAAGCTCATGCCATCCCAACATAAGCTTGAGCTCGATTAATTAATGAAAATCGAGCTCAAGCTCGAGTTTAGTTCGTACTACTCCCACTAATATGGGGTATTAGGAAATGTTGATGCATGCAACCAGACCCCACCCATGTATTTTTAAAATTTTTATGGAAGCTTTATATACCACTCAATTCTTATGTATTGACAAATCTAACCCCCAAACTTGAAAATTTTTGCATACATGCCACCTTACCTATGCATAAAAAGGTGTATTTCACTTTTTTTAATTTTAAAATGGTGGTGTTTTTGATGTGATATGAAGGACTTGGGTTGCATAAATTTAGAAAGAAAAGTTTGTGTTAGATATTCATAGGAATTAGGTGGTATGTATGTAAATGCCCCAAAATTTATTTCAGTGACCTGTACCCGGGCACCCGGAATACACGAGTTTGAGTTGCCTCTATTGTATTCCGATAGTTCATATACTCAAATAGCTTATGGCACAGAAGTTTATCATAAAATTACCTTTGTTTCATTCTCATTTTTTTTATGGAGACCATAATTCGGCTAATAAATGTTCGCAGATAGTCATCAAAAGACACTATTGATTGAAGAATGAGGAAATTGTATCTTACACTTTTCTTCTATATTCTGCGCACGGTAACAATAATGTTTTGTACCAATTCTTTATATGGCTTACTATCACTCGTATATGCTTTTGAAGTTGAGGTAAGAATGATAGCTACGAGTTTTGAGAGAAGTAAGTAAATAAATGCTTTTTTTTTCTTTTTAAAGTTACAATTCAGGGATCATTTGCTAGAACTAACACCCCATGTATTCATGGTTGGGTAAATATTTTCTTTTGAAGATTTTTGAAGTCTGAAATGTTTTTTTTTACTGGTTCACCAATATAGGCCGTGTTATAAAATTGAACCTAATAATGAACATTTGTAGGTCAGTTTCTTACAGTTATCTTCCTCCACTTTGCAGGTATTCTTTTATGCCAACAATGCAGTTACTGTCGATCAGCCGACATATTGGGAGACCAGTTATCTTTTTCGTCCAAAATCCAATAAGACTCTAGCCGACAAGAATATAAAATCTACTATTCCACGAGTCTGGAGAGAACAAGAAGGGCGAGAAGCTGTTCCAATGTCTTTTTCTGCGAGAGGGGGTGATCAAAATGAAATTAACTGTCCTATTTTCCTGAAGGAACTCGCAAGACCCATTGTATCTGCTGGAAAATCTTTGCAGTTGATTCAGCATGTTCGTGGCGGTGAACTCGACGTTCCAACATGGAAAAACTCTGGTGGTCAATTTAACAGCCAGCAATATGAGCAGGACGCTAAGTCAAACACTTCGAAAGCAAATATATGTGATGAGCGTTTCAATTATGCTGGACTAATGGGAATTTTAACCTTGCCTGAAGCCTTCTTGGTGTCATTGACGGGCTTAGTAGGTGATGGGGATCACATTTATCCAAAACTAACGATACCCTCCACTGAGATAACTGAGATGATAATGAAAGGAGTTACAGAAGATGAACAAACATCATTAAATCATGAGAAGACATGGATTAAATTTTTGGCTGATGCAATAACAGGGAGGAGAAAGATAGGCTGTGGAAAAGACGATTCTCTTAATGTTGGAATCGTACAAGTTCATGATTCAATAAAAGTTGAACCTAAATGTAACTCAGACTATCGAAGCACAGAGTCCAAAGATATTGACATTCTCTACCCTCATATTCCGATCATGACTGTTTCCCGGCAGTTTATTGAAAAACACAAAGATTCCTGGAGTAATCTAAACATATCTCAGTACATTCGCCTTCCTCCTTTGAATGACGAAAACTTGCGAATGGCTATTTATACCGAAAAGTTTAACACCACAGATGCAAACATTGATAGCCAAAATGGAGATTCTCTTCGTCATTGTTCTGGAACAGACTATACTTTTGGTTTTCAACATAGTGACGTACAACAGCTTCTTGTAGAAAAAGATATTAGGAATTTGGAATGTTTGTATTCCTTTCCAACCTTTCTTCCTTCTTTTCAGGTATTAAAAAAGGGGCATTTACATACTTTGCACACAATTCTTATGTATTTACATGTCTCACAAAATTCTTTACACACATAGCACTCAAATTTTAATATCACATAAAAATAGCACTATTATAACTTTTTGAAGGTGAAATACACCTTTTTATGCATAGGTTTAAAGCACCAACATGCCATGCATGTAAATATGAAAGTTTAGGTGTGAGATATGTAAATACATAAGAATTTTGTCTTATGTATGTAATTTTCCAAAAAAAAAAAAGGCCTTTCAGAGATACTGTTTTGACTTATCTAGGTGGAATTCTCATGGAAACCAGTTTTTTGTAGAACAGGAAGATGTCCCAGTGTCTGATCTTCTTCCTTTCCAAAAGAACAGCACACTTTCCCGAAGAATTCTTAGTTGGATCCAAGACTTAAGTTTGAATGTCACGCCCCAACCTGATGTCATCATTAAAGAATGTGTTGTTGTATATATTAAAACACAGGTAGAAATGCAAATGCCGATTTTATTCTTTTTTTTATATTTGTCACTAATGATCTGAAAACTTTTTTTTGGAGCATTTACATGTATACCTCACAATTCTTATTTCTTCACAAATGCAACAAACAAACCTTATTTTTTACATATATACCACCCAAGCCTTTCTTATGACTCAAAATCAGGGGCGGGGCTAGCTTCTTTTTTGAGGGGGGCAAACGAAGGGCAAAGTGATATTTTAGAAGGGACAAAAATTATCACTATTTTAACTTTTAAAAATTGAAATAACCTTTTCATGAATAGTTAATAAGGCATCTATGTAAAAGTAGTTAAGTTTAGATGTAAGTATGTAAATACATAGGAATTGATTGGTATGTTCGTAAATTTTCCTTTTTTTCATTTTTTCACTTCTAGATGGATCAAATCGGTAGACATATGCTTTTGAAGCTAATGACTGATTGGAAACTTATGGATGAACTTAATATAATACGTTCAATCTATTTGCTTGGATCAGGTAATTTAGAGTTTCAAATTATGTTTTTCGGCCAGTTTTACTGCTTGCAGGGCTTGAGAATATTCTTTTTTTCAGGTGACCTGCTACAGAGGTTCCTCATTGTAGTTTTTGGCAAGATAGATGAGGGTGAATCATGGGATGATGATTTTGAGCTAAATACAATTTTGCAGGTTCTTTGAATTTCAAAATGCATGCAATTCTTTTGTTCGCAATAACTGATGTGAAATTATTCCCTTCTAATATTGTCTGGTATTACTTTATCGTGCATAGGAATCTATCCGAAATTCTGCTGATAGTACACTTCTGAGTTCTCCAGATTCTTTGGTTGTGTCAATTTCGCAATCCGATGCTCTTGAAGATGACGAAAATAAAGCTCACAAAATTGCAAATCCACGTAGGGGTTTTGGTCAGTTTTTTGGCATCGATGCACTCGATCTCTTAAAATTTTCATACAAGGTATGATTTTAACAGGGAGATCATTTGTTTCATTTTGGTTCTTTTTGATGTAATTAAGATTCTATGACATAGGTTTCTTGGCCCCTTGACCTAATTGTCAATTCGGAGGCATTGAAGAAATATAACCAGGTAAATTTACCTTTCTGACTCCCCTGCTTTCTCTTCCATTTAAGATTGGTTGTTTGGATAATTTGACTGTTTTTGTTATTCATTCAGGTCATGGGTTTTTTATTAAAGGTCAAACGTGCAAAATACTTGCTCGATAAGGTTCGAAGATGGATGTGGAAGGTAAGGATGCATTTTGATTCTTCTTACTGTTTTATTTAGATTTTGTTAGGTCTAAATGACAAACCTAGTTGGGAATTTAGAAAGTGAGACTCCTTTTTGCCATTTGGCGGGTGGAAAGCTAAGGTCTCGTATGGAATCAATTATATTTATTTATTTTAATTTTAATTTTTTCTTTTTTTTTAAAATATATTATAAGAATTGAATTGTATGTATGTAAATATTCCTATTAAGTAGTGCACTCTAACTTGCATAAATTGTTCATGTTAAATGAACTGGACTGTTGCTACGTTGTGATGTATTTGAATTCCTTCCGTATGATGGGTATTCTTCTTATCAGCACAGCTTAAAGCATTAGCAACTTTTATTTTCACATGTTGTCAGCATCATAGTGAGCATTAGTATTCTCCTATCCATCTGGATTGTTCAATACCATTCAGTTATGACGAAGATAGCTTGAATTACATTTTTCTGTTTCTAGATCTTATTTTTTTTACATTAAGTGTAATATATTACTTTGTTGAATTGAGTGGTATGTATGTAAATCTTCCAATATGGGAGCATTTAAAGGCATACCACCCAATTCCTATGTATTTACATATCTAACACCTAAATTTTACCTTCTACATTTATACCACCTAAATCTTTCATATCAAATAAAAAATAACACCATTTTAACTTTTAAAAAGTGAAATAGACTCTTTCATGCATAAGTAAGGTGGCATGCATATCAAAATTGAAGTTTAGATGTGAGATGTGTACATACATAAGAATTGAGTGTATGTATGTAAATCTTACATTTTTTTTATTAAAGATTGCTAACAAGGTTCCGGTCTTTCTAAGCAGGGAAGGACTGCAGTACAAAATCACAAGCATCACTTGTTAGTGGAACAAAAACTCCTCCATTTTGTTGATGCATTTCATCAATATGTCATGGACAGAGTAAAATGATCATATTCCCTTCCCTTATTTTCCATTAGCATATATGAATTTTTTTTTTTCATATTCATATTTGCCACAAAAGCTTGAAGTGCCACAAAAGCTTGAAGCATGTCTTTTTTCAACAGGTATTTCACAGTGCTTGGATTGAGCTCTGCACAACTATGTCATCTGCAGGCTCTCTTGATGAAGTTATAGAAGCTCATGAGGCCTATCTTTCGTTGATCCAACGGCAATGCTTTGTCGGACCAGATAAGCTGGTTTGGTCTATCTTTTCAACCTTCGCTGGATTAAAATTTCATTGAATTAGAAATTTTTGAACATTTTACAAGAAATACCTCATTTTGATTTTGATTGTGGAGAACTATAATCTCAATTTTCTTGACACCCCGCTTCCATTACTGTTAAGTTCCCAAAGTCCTCTTTAATAAAAAAAGGAGCATTTATATACATACCACCCAATTCTTATTTATTTACACATATAACACCTAAGCTTTTCTTTTTAACATTTATACCCCCCAAAATCTTTCATATCACATAAAAAATATCATTATTTTTAACTTTTAAAATATAAAATACACCTTTTCATGCATAGGTACGGTAGTGTATGTGTAAAAAATAAAGCTTAGGTTATGTAAGTGCGTATTAATTAAATGGTATGTATGCAAATCTTCCTAAAAGAAAATGATTTTGATTTTGGATAGTTAGAAGTCAGAACTCTATTCTTTCAAATACAACATAGAGACGGCCCTCCTCTTTATATATAGAAATAACTTAAGGCAGTCGAAAATATTGTATTTCCCAAAATGCCTTTCAAGGAAATGTTGTGCAGCTAATTTTCCTCATGCCTTGTTATCATTGCATGGCAAAAAGATTAGGCTCCACATTTATATGGATTTAGAAACCGTTTCTTTAGTCTAAAAGTAAACCAGCTTATAATTATATTGTTGGGCCATTTACAAATCTAACACCTAAACTTTACTTCTTTTAAATTTATACCACAGATGTACAAATTGAAGTTTAGGTGTTAGATATGTAAATACATGGGAATTGAGTGGTTGTGTATGTAAATCTTCCTTTTTTATTTTTATTAACTTGCAGTGGGCTCTGATTGCGAGTAGGGTGAAGAGCATTCTGGGTTTAGTACTAGATTTTCACTCCATACAGCAGACACTGCACAGTGTGGGAGCAGCTCCAGCCATCAGGGCAAGATGTGAAATGGAAGTCGACCGGATCGAAAAGCAGTTTGATGATTGCATGGCCTTTCTTCTTCGAGTAATTTTTTAACTCTCTCTCTCTCTCTCTCTCTAACTCAGCAAATTTTATCAACTTTGTGAGTACATTTACAGACATACCGCCCAATTCCTATGCATTTATATATCTAACCGAACTTTACCTTTTGCATTGATACAACCCAAATCTCTTTTAACTTCAAAAAAGGTAAAATACACATTTTCATACATAGGTAAGCTGGCATGTATGTAAAAATTGAATTTTAGGTGTTAAAATATGTAAATACATAGTTCCTAACTTTATTTGAATATTTATTTTTTTTAACATGGTTATTGAATCTGGTTATATTTTTGCAGATCTTATCTTTTAAGATCAATGTAGGGCACTTTCCACACCTGGCTGATTTGGTCACTAGAATAAACTACAATTACTTCTACATGTCTGATACTGGAAACCTGCTAAACGTTCCTAGCTTTGAGGGTGCCAAACCTGGGAGGAGTTTGATCTCTTAACCCTGAGTCATCAAGGTATTATTTTTTTGTAACAAAGTTTTCATGTCTTGCAAAAATTCAGGGTTATGTTGGTAAATGTTTTTTTTTCTAGTTGTCCTTTTTGTTGTAATTTTGTTGATGCAACCCACCTTGAGATGAATGTGTATTTGAAATTGTGATTGAATTAGCTTGATTTTAAAGCAAATTGTTGGCTTCTATTTGTTTGAAGAGCCTTTGGTTTTCAATTATGGAGGGGATGATTTCTCAGTAGTTGTGGCCGTCATAGTGTTTGAGGGTGTAATCTCCCACGTGAGTTCCCGGCCAAACATGCATATTGACCTTTGGGTTCAACTTCTTGAGTCCTCTAATGAAAAACTGCTTATTTACATACATGCTCCAACAATTGTTATCTATTTACATATCTATCGCCTAAACTTTCATATTTATATCATTATATATGCATAACATTCAAATTTTTAATATCACATCAAAAATATCACTATTTTGCTTTTTAAAAGTGAAATATATCTTTTTTGCTTGATAACACCAAGATATTTCAATGTAAATATAAAAAGTTGGTTGTTTAATTAAATATATAGATAAGAATATGTGGTGTGTATGTAAATTTCCCTTATTTATATGTAGAAAGAAAATTCTCTTATAAATATGAGTAGAACATTGTGCATTAAATCATTCTTTTTTACCTTTTTTTTTCTTATTTTAGTTAATTGATGCAGCATTGAATGTGAAATGATAAAAGATTGATAGACAATTATGTATCCAAAACTCATAGTTTGATATTTATATTTATAACATTGTGAGATTATAAAAGTTGTATTTTGTTTTCAAAAGGTTAGCTAATATATATATATATATATTGCATGCAAGTGCCTCAAGATTATATCCTTCTTTTCAGTTTTCAAAACTCAGACTTTAATTTCGATAACTTTTGAGATTAATCTTTATAAAAATATCCTTCTTTTCAGTTTTCACCCATATAATTCACAAACTGTCCGTCAAACGATATAATTTTAATACAAACCCTCCCCATTTGGCTTCGGCGACGTCAACATCGCTGCATAATGCCGCAGCCTCTCCTCCCCCGGCGAGGGACACCTTGACGCCGGCCGCCGCGGACGACCAAATGCCATCGACGACGAACCTCCCGAACCCGCAGCTGCCGTCACCTTATAGTTCCTCCATGCCAGCTGTATCGCCACCGCCGCCCACGTCCGCCACGCCGGCGAGTAATACCTCGCGCTCCGCCGCACCCTCTCGTTGAGAAACACATACCGAAAGTGCTGCGTGACGTACTTCACGTCGGCGGCTTCGAGCCCGAAGGCCTCGGTGGTCTCGAGGGTGATTAGGGTGGAAGACGAAGGAGGAAGACGGTGGACGAACGGGCGGCGGAGGCACCACGAGAGGAGCTCGTCGCCGGTGAAGTTTCCGGGGCCTAACATGCAGCAGCTCTGCAAGCCGTCGCGGAGAAGCTGTTTGCTTTCAAGGTGGCCGCGAACGATGAAGATCATTTTTTGAACCGGGTCTCCTTCCCGCGTTATCTAAAGGAATAATAATATATAAGTCCCCTAAAAATTTTTAAATAATTTTATCTGTAGACTTTGTATTTTTAGAGGTGTTTCCATACTTTACATTTTTAACACCTAAACTTTGTTTTTTTACATTTATGCCATTCAAATCTTTTATATTACATGATTAGTATAACGTTGACTCTTGATATGATAAGAAGGCTTACAGTTTCTCCTTTAGGAAACACCAGAGACTTCACCCTGTCACAAATGTTCTCCAGCACTAGCTCATCCATGTGCTGAAACAAAGGCACCTGCAAAGTTCACATTGAAACACAAACATATGGAAAATTTACATACATACCTCACAATACTTAAGTATTTACATATCTAACACCAGAAAAGCGGATTTTTTAACGTCTTATTGTTGTTATTGCATATAATCCAATCATAGTGAAATCTGCAATAACAGCAATAAGATGCAGAGGTGTTTACATACGTGTAGAGTTGTTAACAAGCTGGTTTCCAGCCGAGCTAGAGTTTGCTCGAAGTCAGCTCAAATAGATTTAGTTCGGATCAAAATTGGCTAGTTGCTCCTTATCTTCAATTTCCAGCCAGCTTGGCTCCAAATTAAATCGAGTATGATTCGGCTCGAAATCAAAATGAATCGACTCATTTGGGTTATTTTGTTATCTTCCTCAATTTTTTTTTCAAAATCCGTTCTAGCTCAACATTGGTTCTTATCTCATTATATTCTATTTTATTTAGCATTTTTTTATAATTTTTAATAAATAAAAAACACTTAGAACTGCTCTCGAGCCAATTCAAGCCGATTAGTGTATGGCTCAAAATCAGCTATGAGCTTGGCTCGTTTATTTCGATCCAATCTTGATCCAAGCTAGAATTTAAATTAACTTTCGAGCGATGAACAATCTCCAATCAAAATTCACAGCCCTAGATACAACATAAAGATGTGCCTTCCTTTTATAAAGAAACACTTGAGCCAAACAAAAAGTATAGCATAATGTCAAAAACATCTTTAATTACTAGCAACTAAATTTAGAAAAATCTGAAGGTCTACAATGCAAAAAACACGTACCTGTCGAACAAGGTCGAGGCAGAGATGATACTTAATGTCTCTTCTCAGGCCTTGGGGCAAATTGCTTATCATATTGCATTCATCAACGCCTCTCATCGCCGCCCACCGCTGCCTCTCATACTGCCGCACACGCTGCCGGATACTCTTCGGCAGCTGCCGTTGCCTCATCCACCAGTCCAAGCTTCTCATCTTCATGTGCAAACTCTTCTTTTTGCATGTAGTTGAGTGCAAGAATACCTACATTTATCATACATTTACTTAACAGACCACTCAATTCTTATATATTTACATACCTAACACCTAAATGTTTCTTTCGTATCTAAATTTGTCAAAATAGTCCTTTGACAGTTTATATGGGGTTATTTTAGTCTCGGAGTGTACGAAAGTGTCAAATTATTCCCCAAGTTATTTAAATTGGGTTTGTTTGGAGCAGCTTCAGTTTATTAAAAAACTACAATAGTTATTATAATTTTTTTCTTTTGAAAAAATCAGACCGCAGCTAAAAAACTGACACCGTACCTAGCCAGGACGTCAAAACGTAGTTTACACAAACAGACAAATTCACTGCCGTCCCAAATGGACCCAAACCGACCCTTAGGGATTCTAAAAGAGTCCGCCATGGAGATTATTTCAGCACAAAATAATAATCTCTCGAGATTAAATTTGCAATTTTATAGTCTCGTGGACTAAAAGGATCCCATGAAAAACAGTCATGAGACTATAAGTATCACCATTTTAACTTTCAGAAACTAAATTACACATTACGCATGCATATATAATGTGGTATGTATGTAAAAAATTAAAGTTTAGGCATTAAATATGCAAATACTTTTTTATGTTTATGCAATGGAATGTTTTTGCCTTCTGACCTTGATGTTTCCAATCAGCATGGTCACTAGGATAAGGCCGCTTGTGATGACCACAATGTTGAATATAATCTCTAGCCAATCTGTTGTGCTAACCAGAGCTCCACCAAAGGTGCTGCAGTAATTGGCAAAATTTTTCATTAGCTGAATTATTTGACAAGAGGGGATCTTAAACAAATTAAATCTCATTAATGGTGGGATTTGATAAATCCCATATTTAATATTAATAGGATGATTTACATATATAATACTCAATTTCTACGAATTTATATATGTTTAAAACCTACATTTCAACTATTACAAACATGCCACTGGATTCCATTTAACATAATAAAGTTTAGTAGTTATTTATGCATATATATAGGAATCTTGTAGTATGCATGTAAACATACGTTGTCCATTTGCATACATACCACACAATTCTTGCTTATTTACATACTTACACCTAAACTTTCATATTTACATGTATAGCACTCAACATCCTTAATATCACATAAAGATGTCATTTTTTACTTACTTTTCATGCATAGATTTATGACATCGAAGTGTTATAAGTGTAAATATAAGAGTTTGGGCATTATGTAAGCAACAACTACATAAGAATAGCATGGTATGTATGCAAATTTCACAAAACTCTTAAATTTTTTTTATGAAAATTGCAGATAACTAAAAACTTACGTTAGAGTCATTAAGCCCCACAGAAGAGGAAGCAGGATCTTCTCCAACCGGCTCGTGTTGGCAACCAAAAGGACCGTTAATCTGTAAGCTCCATAGCTATAGTTGTTCCCACTGTCGCCAAGACATTGCTCTGCCGAGCTCGTGCTGTTGGCCCATATATGTCTCGTCTTCCCTCCAACAGCAGCGGTGTTGCCGTAGTATATGGGCTCAATACATCCCAGCACGTCGGCCCAACAACCTTGTACGGCTCTGCATTGCTCTGTTAGACATTTTGTGGCTCTCTGAATTCCTAACAAGTACCAACAGGCTCCCACTGCCTGATGAGTTTGAGATCAGATGATGAAGAAGAAGAACGGGTGTGTAGTAATGGAGAGCTGGGCCGAGCATGCTATGGATTGGATTTGATTTGACCGAATCATAAGTCGTTCAAGATAAGTTATATGGCTTGCTTAAATTTTTTAATGTCAGTTACTTACATTTCACATAATTCTTATGTATTTACAAATCTAGCAATTAGACGCTTATATTTGCACATATAACACTAAAATGTTTAATATCACAAAAAATAATGTTATTACCATTTTTTTCAAAGACAAATACACCTTTTTAAGCATATCTTTAAAGTGCCAGAATGCTATGTAAATATCGAGAAATATTTGCGTACATAAGATGTACGCAGCGCTGCGTACATCAAGGGTTATTCAGGGGGTACAATGGGGTTATATCTGGGTTATACCCCCTTGTAACCTCCGGTATAACCCGGATATAACTCCCCTGTACCACCAGAATAACCTCTGATGTACCCAGCGCTGCGTACATCTTATGTACGCAAATATTTCACGTAAATATCATAGTTTAGATGTGTCTGTAGATGCAAAATTAATTTATACTAAGTAAATAAAATAATATAAAAATTTAAATATGCTTTCTTGTAATTAAACAACTCAAAAAAAAAATACTAACAAGTTAGTTCATTGAAATAAAAATAAATAAATAATGTATTAAATTTATATGCATATTAATATTAAATTATAATACATTACTATTAAATATATAATTATATAGGCTCTAGATAATCAAATTTTATTTAAATAATATATCAAATAAATACACAGTATTTAACAAGTTACTTTTTAAACAATAAAATAAATTTGTTCGTAAACATTAATAAACGAGTTTGATTATGTTTAAGTTTAGTTCATTTAGTCTTTGAGATTTTAAAAAAATTCAAACATGTTTATTTCCTAATTTGAATGAAAATGATAAAATATTAATTTAGTCTAGTTTAAGTTGTTCATCAATTGCATTGTTTCATTTAGAGCTCTAATGGGTGCGGGCTACGAAAATTCACAACCGCTCTTCTTTGCATTTTGTTTTCATTTTATTTTGTTGACAGAGCCTAAGAGAGTAGAATTTTCAGAAGACAAATTAGATTGTATGTAAGACATTACCCAAAGATTTCACCCTCATTTAGCTATAACTTTTTTTGATATGGGGTTCGGGTTCCCCACAGGCGCAAGCTTATATGATCAATTACTCATCCAGATAACAAGGAGAGTGCATTCGATTAATATTAGTCATTAAAGATTGAAATTGAACGTAGAATAACAACAAACTTTGGATTCTAAGTTGTAAAATTCATCGCTTGAAACTTAAAGTGGTGGTGGGGGAATAAAGACGAAACCCGATCAATATCCCAGGATTCCGTCATCCCGGACTGTCGTGTTATCTGATCTACTTAGTCAGAGGAGATAGTCAACTTAACATGAAAGAAGAATTCTTGTTAGTAGCCATGGGTTGCTTCATCCAAGATATCCATGTAGATCTAGGGTGAATGTTTGTTCAAGGGGACAAATTTACATCGGCCTAAGCCAATAGAACGTTTTATGTCAATCAATTGTACTCTTATGATTCACAATTCAAATGGTAGAAAGCTATAGAACATACGGTTTGCGGTCGTTTTCAATCAACAGGGTCATCGTCGGGGAATCAAACATTTTAAATTTTTATATTTGAAGTCGAAGCATTTAGTTTTGTTAGATTAAATTTTTCGAAGTTAAAGTCATGTCGATTCATATCCTAATACGTAGGAGGATCGGACTAAGTGATTTGGACTTGTAAATTCTTACTTTTGGATTTGAACGTTTATTATAGCTTACTAAACTCGTCAACTCCACTCCTTATGAGGAGGCGTATCGGACTATGGTTGAGACTTACAAACCAATCCTATAAACAAGACGGTCAGATTTGCACTAGCAGTATTCTCAAACATAATATTTGAGCATTCAATATGCTTGGTTGAAGCACATGCAAGAATTAATTTCATATACTATTTTAGCTATAACATTTGATGTCTTCAAACATTTTACATGATTTTAAACAATCTACTAAATCAAGTAGCTTCCAAGTGTGCCTTTTGAAAGACTTGCATAAGTGTTGAGGTATTTATATTCAAATCAAATACTATATTAAAACTTGATGAAGTCATAAAATCATTTAAACATCTTGAATGTCTGTGTGAATATTATGACTTTAAGTTGCCCCCAAGTTTTCATTTTAAGATTTTCAGGGTCTTCTGTTCGTCAGGAGGTATATTGTGAATTCGGTCGCAGGATTGAAATATTTTTAACGCCTTTTGTTGGCAACATTAGCGAATTGTAGGACAGAGGGAGTCGTGCGAGCAATGAAATGAGGAGAAGACGGCTTCTGCTCAAGGACTCGGTGCAGAGAGATCGGGCTCGCTAGGGCTTCTACTCCGGCCTACGGGAGCGACGTGGGAGGATCGCGGCAGGGGGAAGAATAGTGCGCGGGTAAGAAGAAGAACGAATCGCGACAAAGGTATTTGTGTTACGGGATTGTGCAAAAGATTAATTAAGTTTAATTAACCCAATTAATAAAGATTAATTAAGTTTAATTAATCTAATTAACGATATTAATAATTTAAATGAATTTATTCTTCTTTTAAAAGTCTACAAGGGGGAGTGAGAATAATACTTACATGAGAAGCTATGAAATAGGCAATGAGATTGAGAGCGATTCCCCACCAAATGGTTCCGAAAATATATCCCGACGAGTTCTGCAGGCGTCGAAGGGAGGATATGGAGTGGTAGATTTTGGGGAGATATTGGAAGAGGAACATGATTAAGAAGATGGTCATGACCCACATGGTGGAACCTTGCTTTATTAGAGCAGGTACTGCCATCCATAGAACCACCTGCAAAAGGTTTTTGGTTGGGAAGATTTACATGCATATCACACAATTCATATGTATTTATATATCCAACACCTAAATACATGCCGCTTTATCTGTGCATGAAAAAATATTTCACCTTTTTTAAGAGCTAAAATGATGGTATTTTTTTGTCTGACGTGAAAATTTGGGAGCTATAAATGTAAAAATTAAAGTTTGAGCTTAGAAACTTAAATAAATAGGAATTGGGTGGTATGTATGTAAGTGCATTCACATACATACCACACAATTCTTATGTATTTATATATCTAACAGTACCTATACATTCATGTTTACATGCATGTCACTCAAATCTTTATCATCACATCAAAAATATCACAATCATAATCTTTTTAAAAGTGATAGACACATTTTGATATGTAAGTACCAAAGTGTTATAAGTGTAAATATCAAACTTTAATACATGAGAATATTGTGTAGTATGCAAGTATTTTACATCCATACCACACAATTCATACATATTTATATATCTAACAACAAAACATCAATTTTTACATAAATGCCACCTTAGTTATAAAAGTGCAAAAAAAAGTGGTATTTTTTATGTGATATAAATGTAAAAAAGCAAACTTTTAAGTATAATTCAGTGGTATGTATGTAAATGCCTAAAAAAACAATTTTCATATCTTGATCACTGAATTGAAGATTAATTGTGTGGTTATAATCATACCTGAGGTATTGGAAGGACGACGAAGAGATCAAAAAAGAACACATTTTTCAATTTGAGATATTGCATTGCTGCCCTCTGAGGACTCATCTTCGAAATCCGACCATTCTGCTCAACCCCCTCATCTTCTCTTTTATCACACATTCTCATGTGACACACCGTCTTCATCTTCAGCCACATGTTCCATAGATGCACTGCATCGGTGATGAACCGGAGGAGGGTGACGGTGGCGGCGAACCAACCGTCGACGAAGAGGCAGAGCTCGTCGCCGTTAATGGAGAGCGCGTAGAAGAACAAGGGGTCGACGAAGAGACCGGAAGCTCTGACGAGAAGAAAAGCGCGGTTCCATTCCTGCACCCATTTGGACTGGGGGTCAAATGCGCCGCCCACTGTGCTGTGTTTTGGTGGGTTGTAGCTCCAGGTCTCCTCGTCGGAATCCCTGTCGATGTTGTGAGGAGGAAGATGATTAGAAATGTTGGAGTCCATCGAGGTGGTGATGGAGGAAGAGGGACGAGGGTTTCGGAAGCGGAGAGAAGCATGTTTTATCATCAAGAAGGCATGTTGAAGGAGTGAAAGGTGGAGAATGTTGGCATCCTAAGAGTGGAAGATGAGCACTTTTAGCAGCGGCGTTAAAAATCCAATTTTGAGCAGAGATGTGATGGGCTCAAAATTGGCTAGGATGCGATTCAATGTGGTTGGATATTGACTCATGCTTCCTTGTATTCAATTTCGAGAAAGTTTGGCTTGAACCGGATCTATTTGGATCCATTCCAGCTCGAAACTCAAAATAAGCTGGCTAGTTTCAATTGATCTAGTTTAAAATAAATGAATATGAATCAAATATATAAAAATCCTATCACTTACACAGTCTAAAATCGTATTTATATTATATATGTAGGGGCATTAAGTTTCTATGTATTTAAATATCTAACACTTAAACATTACTTTTTAACATTTATACCTTTCAAGTCATTCCTATCACATAAAAAGTACCATTATTATGAAATGCTCCCTTTTATATGTAAAAATAAACGTTTAGATGCTAGACATGTAAATACACAAGTTTAAGTGGTATGTATGAAAAAATTTTGATAAATTAAAAAAACAATGCTTCTAGCCAATCCATCCAAACCTCAAAATTAGCTCGAAAAAAATTCAATCCATGATGTCAGCTCATAGACCGACTCATTTTGACTGAACAAAAAATTCGAATCAATTTTTGAGTGATCTTCAAGCAAAATTATCAGCCCTACTCATGGATGCCTTTGCATCGGACCAATTATCCGCTGAACTGTCCTTAAGCTAAGGGGACAATCAGAACACAAAGCTTTGATGGAAATATTTATAAACCTTACAATAGGTACAATGCTAAGTTGGTGCTAAAAGAGAAGCAATCCTTACAGTTGCAAGTATTTTCTGATTCTTGAAAGTGACTTCTGATTTGAAGTTTGGCCACATAATTCTTCAGCGAAGTTATTCAGGAACCAGCCTGTATTAATTAAAAAAAAAAGGCTTTTACATACATACCACCCAATTCCAATGTACTTACACATCTAACACCAAAAATTTAATTTTTTTACATGTATACCACCCAAATCTCTCATACCACTTAAAAAATACACTTTTTCATGCATAGATAAGGTGGTATGTATGTGGAAATTGAAGCTTAGGGGTTAGATACATAAATACAGAAGAATTGAGGGTATGTATGGAAATCTTCCTAAAAATATGCAGTGACAGCATACAAGTAAAAGGGAGATTGTGAGTCAATTCTTTCATCTCTTTCAGTATTTTGTCAATTTCTGCCAGTAGATTAAAAAAAAAAACGGTTCTGAACTGAAAATACAACAACTTCCACGAACTTTCCATAATCTAAACTTACGGACAAGTAGAGAAAAACGTGAATTTTAAGCACAAGCTGTAGTTTAAACATGATCAAGAGTTCTTATTTGCTATAAAATTTACTACTACAAAATCTCAAATCCATGTTTTCTAAAAAATCAGCATCATTACTTTATTACTGTAGTGCTCAAATTGAACAGCAAGTTCTTGCTGCAAATAAGTAAATTAGCAATCAATAAAATTAATAAGCTACTCCAAGAGCCCTATTATTCAAGTTTTTTTTATAAATATATATAAATAAAAGAATGTTTATGACTTTGTTTTCTGCAGCTTAGATGCAACTGGAGTCCCTCCCAAATACGACTTTCCTCATCCAGTCTGATATCACCAGAAATCTTGTGCGCCAACTGACTTGTTTGCTGGATTAAAAAAAATGGATATTTTTGTAAAACACCGCTCATGTAACATATTGAGGTTTAAGAAATCATTGAAGAAAGAATTAAGTGTATATAACGAAGTTATTTATGATTTTTAAAACGTTCCTGGGCATTTATGTACATATACCATCCAATTCCTATATATTTACATATCTAATACATAAACTTTATCTTTTTACATTTATACCAGTCCAATCTTTTCTATCACAAAAAAAATACCACTATTTTAATTTTTAAAAAGTGAAATACACCTTTCCATACATAGGTAAGGTGGCATATATGTAAAAAATTAAGTTTAGGTGTTAGATATGTGAACACATAGGAATTAAGTGGTATGTATGTAAATCTTCCTAAGAGATATGGACCATATGGTACAGCATATACCTTGCATAGACGGAGTACCAAAGCCATTGGGTGCTGTGTCCTATGGAAATCCAATCATAAGGAAGCTGCGCAGCTGTTTGCCCTCCACCCAAAGGTGCAAATTGTCCAAAATGCCGGTACCTGCATGCAAAATATACAATACATAATGAGACAAGGTAGAGGCTGATTGGAGTGGCTTGGGGGTGACATTTTGATGGTTTTGTTCATAAGAAATATTTATGGGGGATGAAAAGATTACAAGTAGAAATTTGGGGGCATCTAATTGATCAACTATTTCAACACATTAAAGAGTCTGGGACAAAATCGATATTTTTTATAGACTTTGGGACTAAAATGACTACCCGCGGAAAAGCCAGCCAATACTTTTCTCCAACATTTTCTTAAATACACAGAAACGCTTTGTGCTATAGCATATGCATCTCTTTTTTCCATTGTACCTGAAGGGTTTGAATCGATGGCGGCCTGTCCCTCTTATACGCGGAGGGCCTTCAGGTTTTTCTTCACATTTCTTCATTTTGTTGAAGCATCTAGCAAGATACTCTCCCTCCTGTGCTGCAACCTGGCACAAAATGAAAAGCATATGAGATTATTAGTAAGGATTGTTGGAATGGAAAAGCTTTTAGGAAATGACAAAGGTTAAAAACACAACTTATGGAAGAAGTTTCACTCTTATTTAACACCTTTACTTGGTTTGATACAAACTCAAAGACTTCACCCCTATTTATACTAGTGGCACCTCCTATGGCTAGGATTGTGTCACCACAATTACAATCCAATGGTTACAAATAATTCCACACCTACCACACAATAATTCAACACCTACCACACCTACCACACCTACTACGCAATAATTTCATACCTACCACATATTCTAGAATAAGCCTATAGAAATTAAGATTTATTTAAACAACTAAAACAAAGTTTATATTTCAACACCCCCTCTTAAACTTGATTTTGTGACTCCAAGCAAACTTCTCATTTTAATAAAGTCTTCACTCTTCAGCGGCTTGGTAAAAATATCTGCAACTTGGTCTTGAGACTTCACGTACTGCACTTGTACCTCCCTTCTTTCGATGCATTCTCTGATGTAGTGATAACGCATATCTATGTGCTTGCTTCTATCGTGGAAAACAGGATTCTTTGCTAGCGCGATTGCAGACTTGTTATCAATACAAATCTTAATCGCCTCTTCTTGTGGTAA